ATCCCTCCCCTACACCATCAACAAGATTATTTCCGACCCTAAGTGACTCTCCATGCCGCAATTATTTGAGTATACGACGAGGTGGTCGCGTGCGATACGTTGGTCAGACTTTCTGGGGGTTCGTTGCCGGAAAGGTGAGTCTGGCTCGTGGAATAAAACAAAACGGAAATGCAATCTCCGACGGGATTGTGTCGCCCGGCAAGACCATGACTGATCTCAATTGATCGTCTTGTAGGAAAGTCTGAGCGATGATTTCTTCGACGAAAACCGCCATGCTCACCCCGATCTCCCCCTTCCATACATTTCCTCGATGGGGATGTTCAATCTCCTGCGGTCGCTGCCCACCAAGCCCGTTAGTGATACCCTGCTCGAGACTTTTTTCCTTGCCGTATGGCCACTTGTTCCTCTCCTACACCCGCCTTCCCTACAGGCAGATTACGACGAGTTTTGGGAATGGTGTCGGAATAGCGAGAATTCTTTACCCTCGGATAAACTCCGCGATGACCCAACCTTGATCTGCCTTCTCTTTGCAGTCCTATACTGTGGCGCATCTGCGGCGCCAGCAGCCAGCTGGGCGAACACCAACCTGCAGGGTCTACAGAAGGAGACTATAGTGAGCCACCTCAAGTCGGCGTATACAACGAGTCTTTCTCTATGTCAATATCAGGAACATCCAACGTTAAATACACTGGTTTCGAATTTGCTCACAGGACCGTTTCTGGATCGGCCCTTCGAGCCCATGCGTAGTCTGGTTAACGTGAGCACTATAGTGCGCACCGCCCAGACTATGGGGTTACATCGGGAGGGAGCATGGTCTGCGCTGAGTTCCGTTGATCGAGAAATGCGACGTAGTGTCTGGTGGCACATTGTTTGGCTCGATGTGCAGTCAAGCATCTCCACGGGGCTAACCCCCTGTTGTGGGAACGAGGCCTTGGACGCGGTGAGCATGGTTGACACTGACCATGCAGAGCCGAGCGATATCCCCGCTGGACTTTCCCCAGCCAACGACTTGGTGACTAACAGACAATCGGTAGCAATGCTATATGCCATCGGACGCTTCCAGACTGCTCGCTTACAAGCAAGGATCGTGGCGCACCTACAGAGTGCGCATGGTCCAAGCCAGGATGGATTTGGCGAGCTGATCACAGATGCTAAAGAGCTTCTGCAGAAAATTGACTTGCTTATCGCACGCGTTCCAACACAGGGAATTCCCGAAATGGGATACATCCCATCCCGTCTAGCGAATGCATCTCCGTCCACGCAACCCTTCTTGTACAAGGACGATTCAAGCCAGCCAACCGTCTTTGCCGCATGGACGCGGATCATGCTAACATTGCTGAAATCGGAAATGGCCATTTTACTGCAGAAACCATTTCTGCCACCCCCAGACAGTGCAAATCCGCAATCACGCAAGTCATGGACCAGGTATGAATCGTTTCTCTCCATATCTCATCCCTATCCCGCATGCTGTGGTGCATCTCCCGCTGCATCCCTTTACAGTGAATCCTGCCTAGCTTAAGTATTTATCCCTTTACATTGATCCGCCACTATCATCCTGCCATGAAAGACTTATTAACACGCGGTTTGACCATCCAGTATGGCGCAACTCTGCGTGAATTACTTACGTATTTACCTGCAGCTGTATCAAACTCCTGCGTTCTCCCCATACGCGTGGTTTTGCTGCAGTCACTATGGACCTCTCCAATGCGTATTCATCACCCTAATGTACCTCCATTACTTCCAGCGCTCCGGAGAGACCATGCTGGCCCGATATTGTGTTGATGAGGTTATACATCACTGCGTCGCCCAGTATCAAGCTCCAGATCCCTCCTCGGCGAGGAATAGCCTCGACGATACTGATTCCAATGGGGGCAAAATGCGAATGCCATTGGCCATCCAGGTTCTCGTTGACCTTCACGAACGTCTCGACTCGTCTTTTGGACCTGAAGAGAGGCCACCGCCACTAGACCTAATCGAGTGTCGCGCCCGCTTTCCTACTTCTTACCTTGCTACCAAGGCGTCCGACTTGCGCGCGACGTCCGATCAGCCCTCTTCTGATGTATCCTCCACTACTCGCACCAACCACAATTGCGACACCCCACCCGTAACCACAGGATTTCCTCCAGTGGCTGCTGGTAACAAACCAGTCCCACCGAGCAGCGTCTTTGTGGCCGGGAGTGACTCAGGCTTAGATATGGACTTCCTTGCTACAATTTCGGATCTCGAGGCCTGGTCCTCGTCATTGATTCTGGAATCCGACAATCTCCTCGCACATCCTGATATTATGACGCCTGATCATGCTGGAACCACAGTGTTAGGCTCACAAACTACGGCGTCAGGTCGCCGTGGCTTGCCCGAAGGACTCGATTTCCCAGGGTAACAGGCTATTTTCTATGCTCTTCTTTTTGCTTTTCTATTCCCTATTGTAAGCAAAAATAAATGTATAGAGTGTATAATAGGCAATTTTTACAGGGATTTTTCATCTAATTGCACGATTTGACCTGATTCCAAAATATCAGTGACTCCACGAGATACCCAGAGTCACGACCCTGCATTGCAAGATCCGGCATTCTCCCTTTACGGACTACGCTACTGCACCACGAGGCACGGGCCTCTGCTGACATTTAGCGAGGTCTCACGTGTATACATGTGCATATACGCAATCCGATACAGCCATTTCCTGGCACGCAGCTTCCGATCAAATCGCATGAATTTCCATCATTCAGAAGCATCGTGAAGTAGGCACACCATCGCTTACACGGTCCACACTCCGTGTCAGTGTTAGCCAAAGTGTATTATATATCCCAGCATCGGCCGAATAATCCATTGTCGGCCTTGTGCCAGCAGTCTTCGGACTTTCCCTCTCAGCCTCGCAGCCTTATGGCGTCGCATACTGACAAAGGACCTCGGACTCGGCCTGGGCGAACTCGCGCATAATCGTCTCGGCCCTCGCAGTGGAGCGAGCGGAGACTTTACACTTGTACGCTCGCGGACACACAAGGAATCCCTCGGTGTATCCGGTGATCGGATCGGTGTCGATTGCGACCGGCCTTCCCAACTCGTTCAGTTCGGGCTCAAACTGGAACCCCCAGAGGAGCTTGGCTGCTCCGATGAACATGCTGCGCTCCGACAGATGGATCCCTGGGCACAGTCGTCGCCCAGCCCCGTAGATGAAGTGATCCCGCTGCATGTAGTCCGGCGAGGCGGCGTAGTCCGAAGCCAGATTATGTCGCCCTTCGTAGTGACTCGGGTCGAACCGCTCGGGATTAGGGAATACGCTTTCGTCGTGGTGGAGGCCCCAGACGTTCAGAAACACTGTTGTCCCCTTCGGTAGGAGATACCCATTCACCCAGTCGTCTTGGTTGAGCGCGTGCGGGAATGATAGTGGCGTCACCGGCCGCCAGCGCATCGTCTCTTTAACGATCATGTTGATATACGGCAAACGGCTGAAATCCGCCCATGTCGGGGATCGGTCTTCGCCACACACGGCGTCGACCTCGGCGCGCGCCCGCTGCTGTACTTCCGGATGCTGCACCAGCGCCTGGATCATTACCAAGAGCATCGTAGACCCGGTATCGGATCCACCCTCCATCATCACGCCACCGAGGAAGTCGACTTGGTTGTCAGTGAGGTTCTCCTTCTCTTGTAGGTCCAGGACGTGGTCAATGAACGTCCGAGCTCGAGTTTGCGAGCTCTGCTCGGCCTGTCGTCGTGCTTCAATCGCCCGTCGCCGGAAGGACCCATACAGTGTTTTCATGCAGCTGCCGACCTCTACCGACCGATTGACCCAGTTGCCCAGCCACCGCTGTGGGATCCATTCCAGCCACGGGAAGATATCGACGGGCGGCGTGGCACCGGTCTCCATGATCTTTGACCACTGCTCCATGATCTCGTAGAGTTGTTGCATATGTGGTGTATCCCACGACGGGGTACGAATCCCGTACAACAGACTCATGATGATACTGTTTGTGGTGCGCTTTGTATGCAGCATATGTTTCTCTGGGTACAGGAGGAAGTCACGCATCATCTGTGTGTGCTCGGCTTCGAGGAGCTTGACGTGCTCCTTCTCGCACATGCTCGCCTTAAAGTGCTGGTGCACTGTCTTTCGGAATAGGCGCCAGGTTTCGTTGTTGTCCATAACAAGGAGATGGTCGCCGCCAGTTATGAGATTCTGTCCCACGTAAGAGACTGGGCGTGAGCTGTATAGGGCGCTGCGTTTGTCAAGTAGTTCCTTGACCAGACCCCGATCGGTGATCACGGCTGCAGTGGCCGGGCCAATTCGGAAGCTGTAGAGACCGCCATAGACTCTGGCCCATTCGGTGAATCTGTTGATGTTACATGGGGGTGTAGTTAATTAGCTAGATGAAGAAGAACCCACTTTTGATGCGCGCGCACTGCGGGGATCTGGTGGATGTTGCCAATGAGAGGCAAGCCAGGTGGACCTGAACTTCATTAGCTTGGTATTTCCTTGGACTGGGATAGGAAGATCAATTGGATAAGTACCAGGAGGTAGTTGGCGCCGTATTCTCCAACTATTCAAAACAGCTCGGAGGAAGAGTAACACTATGGCTATCGCAGCCACCGTGGTTATATAAAAGAGTGCCATGGTAGTTGCTCAACACTTCCAATCTGACCCATGGAGAGTTGCAAGATGGAATGAAGACTAGAAGGCTGTGAAGCGATACTATACTAATGTATAGAATGGCAGGGATACGAGAATAAATACTCCTGGGATTACGATATAATCACCACAGGGAATCAAGTCGGCCGACGTAGTATATTCGGATGTCCGAATGAGAGATTGTATTGACCGAGATAATACAGTACGGCGCTGATAATATCTTCCAAAGAATACTGAGGATTCTATAAGTGTGAGATTACGCGGCTTTTCTCTTGGAGACCCAATTAGACCTAGCACCGAACTCATATAGACCCTTCTGTATACCATCCTGGAATGATGATGTATTTCTCTCCTCATGCTTCTGTATATATGTATCTACCTATAGAATACGCTCAGGAATCAACTCCTTGTTATCATCAATCCGAAATCGTGGGAATAGCTCCAACGCCGCACCCCGGGCGACCTCCTCCTCTTTCTCCCCTCCTTGGGCAAAGAACTCCTCCATCATCCCAACGTACTTGCTAATTGTCTCCACGGGAGCATAGGGAAAATCACTGCCATATAGCACATGGCCTGGCTTTGCAAACCCATTTTTGCCCACTAGTAACTCCAAATTCCCGCCGTTCCCGGAAAGGGCGAGGTCGAGATAAAAGCTCCTGGCCTGCTCCAGAAACCTCTCCGGAGGGATCTCCGTCAGAACCGCATCGTAAAGCAGGTTTGCCGCCCGATTAGCGAGAATAGGCAGCGTACCGCCTCCATGGGACAGAATAATCTTCACATCGGGGTTCTTGGAGATCGTCCCGGAGGTGATTAGATCGACCGCCGTTCGACATGTCTCGTGCGGATAATCAATGATTGGCTGTGCTAGTTTTGAATTGACCATCTCCGGCTTGTTCCCGGCGGCCGAGGCTGTGTTCGTCGGATGAATGAAGACTACGGCCTTGCGGCGGTTCAGTTCCTCCCAGAGCGGCGCAAAGGCCGCATGACCGAGGTACCCGGTTCCACTATACCGAGTGTAAAGAGTAATACCGTCAGCCTGGAGGGTGTCCAGAGCATAGGCGAGTTCCTCCATGGCCGAGGGGATGGTTTCGGGTGTCAGATGTGGGAGACTGGCGAAGAAACCGAACCGAGTGGGGTTGTCCTGGTGAAGTTGGAAGCCATAGAGGTTGATATTCCGGGCGAGGTCGGCTGATTCCACCGGGGAATTGAACAGGATAGAGGTGCCCGGTGCAGTTAGAGATAGAATGGCCGTGTGGGTGGAGTGGGAGGCCATGAGGGAGAGGGTCGATTCGGGGGTCCATTTGGGGAGGTGCCAGCCGGAGGGGTCCCCAGGAGTCGAGTTGAAAGCTATGTTTTTATTAATTATCTTTCTAGGGAGAAGCCAGGGCTCATATTAACATACCCTTGACATAGGCAGGGGGGATGAAGTGGTGGTGCACGTCGATGCGGTTCATGGTGATGACTGGATAGTTTTACTACTGGAAGTTTGGGGATTTGTATAGACGAATGAACGCGAATGACTCGCAACATATATATTGATCATAAGGTCATAAGGTATAAACCAACAATGCAGCCACGCGGCCGAGCAAGAACAAGACCGATCATACTCGGCCGGAGGACGTACAGGCAGAGCAAGGCCAGGCAGTTTAGCGCAGAATACCGGTCTGGACAGTGTGGCTTGCACTTCACACGCTGGGGCTCAACAATATACTCTCCTGGTCCGGACCTCCATCCTCTAATGTAGCTCCATCTTCATATTGGCCAGGGAAATATCATACACCCGCACCACAAACAGCTCCAACAAAGAGACACCCGTCAAATACAAGCCCAGCTTGATGTTCGACTTGAAAATCCGGCCTCCCGAGTGTCGATCCTTTAGATCCAACGACAGGATATGCCACGGCACATTCACAATCCACACGCCAAGTCCCAGCACCCAGAAAATGAGCGACATATCCGCCCGCATCGCAGTGAAAGCAAAGAGCAATACCTGTAGGGCCCCTAGTACCGCTAGAAGGATCTGGACATTCTTCCCCAGCAGCACGGCGAGTGACCTGACACCAATCTTTTCGTCATCTGGACGATCCTGCGTCGCATATAAGACATCAAAGTAGACAACCCATGAGGCTGTAGCGAGGAATAGAGGCAGTGCCTGATCCAGATCCTTTAGATCCCCAGTAATTCCCACCCACCCAGGGAATACGGCGCCACCGATGATCGCCCCTAGAACGACTTGGGGGAATGGCATGATGCGCTTCATGAATGGGTAGATGGTGCTCAGCACCCATACGGGAATGAAGGCCGCTGTGACGGCCGGTCCGAGCGTGCCCCAAGTGAGGGCGAATGTGAGAGGCAACCAACAGATAAAAGCCACGACGGCCTCGGAGGTGCTGATCATTCCAGATGGTAGAGGGCGGACTTTGCATCGCTCGACGTGTTTGTCGAGCGTTTGGTCACAAATATCGCTAATGCACTCGTTAGTGGGATACATGCATACTGCTTTGTCTGTCACACTTACTTGAAGGTACAGAATGCACAGTGTGTAGCTGTCACGCTGGCCCAGATCCCAAAGAGTAAACGGAGGAATGGCGCGAGTTGCAGCGACACATCTCGCATGCCCGCGGCCACACATGCCCCCCAGATGGCAGGATACCAACATAGCCAGGCTTCACGGGTGTGTAACCGGGCGAGTTCCCATACACCGCGAGTCACATTGCGCTGGGATTTGGGGATAGTAGAGACAGTCATATTGATGGTGCTATTCGGAGTGCCTCGATGAAAGCAGTAAATTGAAAGATCCTTATAGAACACAAATTCAGATGAAAAGAGTTCTCGTCAAAAGATGCCATTTCAATGCATACCTCTCTGTATCAGCCGGGGCTCTCGGGGTCGGTCTTGTTGGGCCGAGTCGCGTCAGCCATCGCGTTAGGGCAGAGGGATCTCACCTCGGCCGATCGCTGACCATTCGAGTCGATGCTATATCGCTAGAGAGTCAGACCGGCCGATAGTGGCCCAGTGAATTAGATCGAAAACTGAAATAGACTTCTATTGGTAACAGGCGAAGTATAGGTGTATCCAAATAGCGAGATCGTAGAACCTTCATATTAATATATAGAGAGCGAGCTCGATTTGTTCGGATTCACTGCGCGAGAGATTAAATCCTCAACTTGTTTAATTATTCTTCATCATAGAGTCTACATTTCTACATTACACAGCATAATGGTTGCTTCAACAAGCAGCACAGAGGTTCTCACCCCCGCCGATGGCTCCGAGGACGCTGAAATTCATGATGACCTACTCCAAAATGATACCCACGACAACGTTGCTATAATCGGCATGGCATGTCGCGTCCCAGGGGACGTGAAGTCCCCCTCCGCACTGTGGCAATTCCTCCTTGAGAAAGGTGACGCTTCAGGGAATATGCCCTCTTGGCGCTGGGATCCCTATCGACAGCGCCATCCTCGTAATACGGCCGTACTGGCTCAAACCACTGCCAAGGGCTACTTCCTCAATGACATCGACCAGTTTGACGCTGCATTCTTCGCCATCTCTCCACGCGAGGCGGAGCAGATGGATCCCCAGCAGCGAATTGCCCTCGAGGTTGCGTGGGAGGCCTTGGAGGATGCAGGCATATCTCCTTCCCGTCTTGCGGGTTCAAACACTTCCGTATACATAGGCGTCAACTCCGATGACTATGCCAAGCTGGTCTTGGAAGACCTTCCCGATGTCGGTGCCCATATGGGCGTGGGCACAGCCTACTGCGGCATCCCCAGCCGTATATCCTATCTGCTGGATTTGATGGGTCCCAGCGTTGCACTGGATGCGGCCTGTGCATCATCCCTGGTCGCTGTACACTATGCCCGTCAGGCTATTCGTGCTGGCGAGACTGATCTAGCTATCGCAGGTGGTGTCAATGCCCTCCTGGGACCAGGGTTGACCCGGGTGCTTGACGAAGCCGGGGCTATCTCCGCGGATGGAAAGTGTCGTTCCTTCGATGACTCCGCTAGCGGGTACGGCCGAGGAGAAGGAGCGGGCGTGGTCATCTTAAAGCGTCTGGATAAAGCCTTGACGGACGGTGACCAAGTGCTAGCCGTACTCAAGGGCAGTGCCGTGGCCTCAGATGGCAAGACACTTGGCATCATGGCCCCCAATGCGCAGGCCCAGCTTCTCGTTGCCCGAAAGGCGCTGAAAGAGGCAAAAGTGACGTCTGACTCCATCAATTATATCGAGGCCCATGCCACCTCCACATCACTAGGCGATCCTACAGAAACGAATGCCCTAGCTGAGGTATATGGTGTAGGATCCGGACGGCATCCATCCGACCCGTGCTATATTGGTTCAATCAAGCCGAACATCGGCCATTTGGAAGCCGGTGCTGGTGTCATGGGTCTCATCAAGGCGGTACTTGTGCTTCGCCATGGACAGGTGCCTCCACAGGCCAATTTGCAGACGTTGAATAGCAAAATCGCATGGAAGGAGAGCTTGCTACGCCCGGCCCGCGAGCTGGTGACACTATCCCATGGCGCCCCATCACGACCGTTACGGGCAGCTATAGCATCGTACGGATACAGCGGCACAGTGTCGCATGCGATTATCGAGGCATTTGCAGGACAATCCTTGTTTGCCGAGCGACTGGCCCAAATCCCAGACAGTGACCCTGCACCGGCCCTCCTTCTCTTGTCCGTGCCTCAAGCAAACCGAATATCCACAGCAGCTGGTGGCCTAAGCCAGTGGTTGCGCGGCATGGATGAAGCGGTATCCCTGGCGACAGTCGCCTCCACGCTATCGCGGCGCCGCACGCATCATCGCTTCCGCCACGCCATCGTCGCTGATTCCGTCGCAAACGCCATCGCTACCCTCGATAATCTGGCCAAAGATGTGCCAAACCGGTGGGCGATCAACGACCGAATTGGACCTGAGGCGGCGAAGGGCCCGGTCTGGGTGTTCTCAGGCCATGGTGCGCAGTGGCCCGACATGGGTCGCGAATTATTCCACTCTAGCCCGGCATTCGGGGAAGTGGCACGCAACCTGGAACCAATTATTCAAGCCGAGTTAGGATTCTCCGCGATTGAAACCCTGCGCGCCGGTTGCTCGGATCGCACCGACGTTATCCAGGCGATGACATTCCTCATGCATCTGGGCATTGCCGCCGTGCTCGAGGCGGAGTCCGGTCCTCCTACCGCTGTCGTAGGTCATTCACTGGGCGAGGCCGCCGCGGCAGTCATTTCTGGGGCTCTGACGTGGCATGAAGCAGCCTTGGTAGTATGTCGGCGAGCGCGTCTTTACCGCGAGTTCATGGGACAAGGTGCTATGGCCCTGGTTCGGTTGTCGACATCTGAGGCCCGTGCCCATATCGCCACGCACCCCGGCGCGTCCGTCGCAATTGAGGCATCGCCGACCGCTTGTGTGGTATCCGGCACTGTTGACACGGTCCAGAAATTATCTGAGCGATGGCGTGAAGAAGGTGTTGAGGTGCGTGCTGTCGCCACAGACGTGCCCTTCCATACACCACTGCTGGAGAAGCTGGCAGGTCCCCTCCGCGAAGCGCTGAAGGGCGAGCTCCATCCTCAAGTGCCGCGTCGGGCGCTCTATTCGACTGCGCTATTAGATCCACGGTCAGAAGTATTGCGCGATGTGGAATACTGGGTGATGAATATGGTCCAACCGGTCCTATTGCAGTCAACAGTGGCGGCGCTCGTGGACGATGGATTCCGCGCATTTGTGGAGGTGGCGAGTCATCCCATCATAACGCACTCGATTGTTGAGACTATCAGCAAGCAGACGACGGACCGTTTTATCGTGACACCCACTATGGTGCGCAAGCAGCCGCCACTAAAGAGCATCTTGGCCGCCGTGGGCCGCCTGCATTGCTTCGGCTGCGCTGTGAAATCCACAGATCTCGACACGACTGCGCCGTGGAGTTCATCAGTACCTGGTACCATTTGGCATCATCAGCCATTCTATCGCGCGGTGAGCGGGATGACTGCTGCACAACTGGCGTCAACCCACAAGCCTGCCGCCAATGACCTGCTCGGTACTCGGACTGCGCTGTGGGGAACGGACGAGGTACTTTACCAAACCCGTCTTGAGGAAGACAACCGACCTTTCCCCGGCCGTCACCCACTGCATGGGTCAGAGATTGTGCCTGCTGCGGTGCTCTTGCACACATTCATGCGTGCCTTGTCCCCCAGGAGTGTGGAGGAAGTGTCGTTCCAGGTTCCTGTAGTGGTGTCCCCGGCTCGCGAGATCCAGGTCCGGCATAACACACGTAACATCACTATCACATCTCGTCTGGAGGAGTCGACAAGCAACGAAGATAGCTCGTGGCTTGTCAATACCACGGCGATCGTGGGGGTGACTGATGCAACACCCTCCGTCAACCATGTCGACATAGCGGGGATCGGAAAAAGACTGCCACAGAAGCTGTCCGACAGTTTCTCGATGGACTACCTTGCCTCTGTAGGCGTATCTGCCATGGGATTCCCATGGCGGGTAGCCCACCATGTGGCGAGCGAGAACGAGATGCTAGCCAGGGTAGACGCCAACCCGGATAGCCTGCCCGGCATGGATGATCTTTTGACGTCTGTCATGGATGCGGCAACTTCCATCGCGTCAACCCTCTGGCACTCTGAGCCCCGACTCCGTATGCCCACAGCCGTCCGTCGTGTCGTGGCCGTTGACGTGGCCACTCCGCAAGTCGTGTACATCCACGTCACGAAGGCACAATCCTCCGTCAACGCAGCCGACGTGATCATTAGCAGCGAGGATGGCACAGTGCTGATGGAGATCCAGGGTATGGGATTTGCCGGTGTCGAGGGCGAGTTGCTGTCGCGCAAAAGTACCTCTGGCCTAGTACACCAAATTAGCTGGCCGCCCGCCGCGCTGGTTGAGGAGCCGCTGGAATTCGCCCACATCGCCTTCCTGACGGCGGACTCCACCAAGACTCACGTGAAAACCTACCAAAGACAGCTTGAGGGAAGAGGCATCTCGACCTCTATCCATGAGCGTCCCTCCGACTTGCCGTTGACAACCCATTCGTCTATGGCGGTCGTTTACCTCCCTCAAGTAACCGATCAGATCTTTGACACCGCGACCAGCAGCTGCAACGACCTCGTGACAACAGCCCAGGTTATCCTATCCTCCTCGGATAAGCCCACCACGCGCCTCTTTGCCCTCACCTCTGAATCCAATCTAGGCCACAGTGCCCTCACAGGTCTCGGTCGGATCCTGCACGTTGAACACCCCGAGATCTGGGGTAGTCTCATCGACCTCGAAGACCCCTCGGTCTTCCCGCTCATGGCAATGCGCTACGTACGTAACGCCGATGTCATCAAGATCGAGGGTGGGGTCCTGCGCACTGCTCGTCTCCGCCCGCTCCGCCCCGCCCCGCCCCACTCCACCGCCGGACCCGCTGCTCTCACATTTTCCCCAGCATCCACATATCTAATCACCGGCGGACTCGGCTCTCTCGGACTCTCTGTAGCCCAGTGGATGGTCACTCAAAGCGCCAGACGCATCCTACTACTCTCTCGTCGCTCTCTACCGCCGCGCTCGAGCTGGACCACCACGCATAAACCCGAGACTCAGTCCATCATCGATAGTATTCTCTCTCTTGAACGCCTTGGCGCCACTATCCACCCCGTAGCCATCGACATTTCCCACCCGTCCGCGGTGACCAACCTTCGCTCGGCCCTCACCACACTCAACCTCCCGCCGGTCGCCGGCGTGGTTCACGCCGCTGGCATCCTCCGTGACCAGCTCATCGAGCAAATCACTCCAGATGCCTTTGAAGCCGTCCTTGCGCCGAAGATTGCAGGCGCCTTGGTACTGCACACTGTCTTCCCTCCCAACTCGCCTGGCTTAGACTTCTTCGTCCTCTTCTCTTCTTGCGGCCAACTGCTAGGATTCCCAGGTCAGGCGTCGTACGCGAGTGGGAATTCGTTTTTGGACGCTTTGGCGCGGTCACGCAGAAAGGAGGGTGATAATGCCATTTCGCTCCTTTGGACATCATGGCGTGGCATGGGTATGGGGGCTAGTTCCAATGGAGCCCTGGAGGTGGAACTGTATGCTCGTGGAATTACGGACGTGACTCATGACGAGGCGTTCTTGGCTTGGAGTTCTATCTCTGCCACTGAGGGTGCCGACCATGGTGTAGTCCTTCGTGCTCGGCCGCTTGAACCTGGGGAGCCGCTGCCGCATGCGATCCTGAGGGACATTGTAACGAGGAAAGAGAGAGCTGTCGATGAAGGCAATGTGGCGAACGGAGAACAGAGGAACAAGTTGAGTGGCAAAGAATTGGCGGAGTATTTGCGTGCCGTTGTGAAAAAGTGTGTGTCCACGACATTATCTATCCCCGAGGATGAGGTAGACGAGACAGTAGCATTGCCGGAGATGGGCATGGACTCTGTTATGACGGTGAATTTCCGCATGAGCCTGCAGCAGAGGCTGACGGTGAGCGTTGGACCAACGTTGGTGTGGAAGTATCCCACGGTGCATCATCTGGTAGGATATTTCTGCCAGGTGTTGGATGAATAGATCAGAAATTGTACAGTCGAATATATGTATATAGTTGTATCTACTTCTTTCTTGCAAAATAGAACTATCAAACAGCATGTTTCACAAATTATATATAAAAGCAAGTCGTTTCATAAAGATATGTCGCCAAGTATATTTACAACTGTAGTAAATAGTATCTCTATCGGCAGAAACACACCATACAGGCGACTTCCTAAACACCTAATCCTCCCGCCGCTTCGTCAACGCCATGAACTCTCCATGAAGCTGCGGCACGACCATATCATCCCAGTTCATGTCCTCCACGGTTGTTCCCACGAGGTCCAAATCGAATCGTCGCACAATATACGCGATGGCCATATACATCTCCATATACGCCAGACTACATCACACATCCGTTAGCAACATATTTTTCTCAAAGCCAGGCGGGCACATACTTGATTCCCAAACAAGACCGACTCCCTCGCGAAAATGGCACCAGGAACTTGGCTCTCTCTGCAGTCACCTCCGGTCCCTGCAGCCAACGCTCTGGATCAAACACGCGGGGATTTTCGAACAGCGCCTCATTATAGTGAATATGGTAAATGGCCATTCCCACCCGGGTTCCCGCAGGGATGAATCGGCCGTCCGGAAGGCGGATGCCACCTGAGGGAACGAGACGGGGAGTGCGGGAGGCTGCAGGAGAGGAGTATCTGAGACCTTCTTTGATGACTGCTGTCTGTTTTGTATCATGTCAGTGTTAGTTATAGTGCTTCACATGACATACCCTCTTCGGAGTGACGAAGGGATAGAAACGACGAACCAGATATGGCAGCGCCTCGAGCTGGAGATACGAGACATGGGAGTTAGGCGTTGGCATGATATTTTTCAACTCCGCCAGGAGGCGGTCATGGACTTCACGGTTATTGAAGATATTGAAAAGGGTGACTGTGTTGGCAATTCCGGTGGTATCGTCCCCGGCTGAGATCACCGTAAGAAGCTCATCACGGAGACCCTGTTTATCGGGGACTGCATAGCCCTTTTCGGGAATCGGAATGAGCAGACGCTCCATGAGAGTGGGGAAGGTAGGGGGTTTTCCCGCTGCAGCTGCGGCCATATATTCATCGATGCGGCGAGCGGCGAACTGGGTAAAACGAATTAGTACAATCGTTTCGCTGGGAAAATATATAGGTCGAGCTCACCTGTTCCAACTCGTGGCCCATTTCAACAGAATGTGAAATCCGTTTCGCAATCCACAGGGGCAGCGAATTGAGCAGCCTCACAAAGGGGAAAGCTTTGATCACATGTAGACTGGGCAGGTATTGTTGGAAGACGCGAACGGGGAGCGATTTGAACTCCGGATCGGCGAGGGCATTGAGGGATTGACCGAAGGCAAATTGAGAGACCATATCTGGGCCATTCTATTAGATCACAGACGTGATGGAATGAAGTAGTACATAGTGCAAGAAGATACATACCCATCGCCAGAGATTTCAAAGCCCATTCCATTGAGACAGGTTTTCCCTGGGCAAAAAGCTCATCAAATCGTCGTGAGCAGTGGTCAACATGTTCCATCAGCATTGGCTCCAAACTGAGGATGTTCTTCTTGGAGAACAGTGGCTCTAGTGGCGCCTTTCGCTGCTTGTGCCGCACCGGGTCACTCTCGGCCAACGTGCTCGACGGCGCTCCCAGGACCTTGTGCATCGATGGGTCTTTGTAGTACCGGCTACCCGGTCGGTATAGCTCATGATAGAAGGCCGGATCGTATATATGCACCTCATTAGGACCCATGCGCAATGCAGGTCCTAGGCGCTTATGCATCTCCTCGAGCTTGAACAGTGTCTGGCCTTTACGGCCGGGTTTGAGACCGATATTCCAATAAGCCTCCCAACTGCAGCATGTGGTTAGCAAAGTCGTCTCGGAAACAACAGAGAGATACACACTATTCCCCCAAAGCCGCCCATGGCGAACCTGGAAAAGTGGCCAGTGGACTGAAGAAGATCAGATAGACAGCACGAACGGCATGGTAAACAGCAAAGGTGCCCGCAGCAATGAGCCAGAGGCTCACAGGAAGCACAGAAAGCAAAGCCATTGGTTTATATTGACCAGAAATGATACGAAACTCTGGTCGTACCCATTTTCTGTTTCTATCGAGTTATATTTAACTGCGTTGCTTATGTCGCGATCGGCCGAATACCACGCAGCCCGGATGACCGACTATGCCGAGATAGAAAAGCTATATAGATACAGCCCGGTCCGGATAGAAGATACCCTCGTCTCCTCCAATATCCTTCGACATGGCTGAAATGAATAATTCCTCGTGGAAGCCCACGATATTGGAAACAAAGCCGTTCTCCCTCGACAGCGGACACTATACAGCCCTAGCCTTCGTCCTCGCCGTCTGCGTCCCACAGGCCCCCCATGGAACTGCACTTCGCTATGGACTGCTTCTTCTCCAAATTACTTGCGCAGTACAGGCATTCCTTGCCCCGCCACCTCCAGTACCAGACCGGGCCATCCTCTACTCGTCGGGTGTGCTTATGGGCAATATGCTAGCACGCTACTTTGACCGATTGTACACCACCATTCCAGAGAAGACACTGCACCGCATCATCGACCCCCAAACTCCCGAGGATACAGCCAAGCTTTCCGCACCTGAGCGCCTTTTCTGGGCCCTGGAGCTCTTCAGCGTCACCCGCGGTATCGGCTGGAACTGGCGGGTCGCCGGCATTCCCCAGTCCCCACCGCCAACCACCAGATTCCAATTCGCTGCAGCCCAACTCTGCAGATGGACCGCCATGTACGCGGGTCTACATCTCGTCAACGTGACCTGTCAGATCGTATTGTCAAGCCCAAATGCCATCCCCTCGCTCCCGGGCAATTTGCACATCTATGCCCTGATTGTGTGCGGCTGTGCCATCACAATATACAGCCATTTCGGTATTCTCATGCTTCCGCTCTCGGCTCTCTGTGTCGGCCTCCAAGTGGGCCCTCGCTCGTGGCAGGATGTTGCCTCCTGGCCACCCAATTTCGGTAGTGTTCGCGAAGCATACAGCATTCGCCGCTTCTGGGGGTACACCTGGCACCAGCAGCTGCGACGGCAGGCTGGTGCGCCTGGTGCATATCTTATTAGCTTGTTGCCGGACAGTGTGACGATGTCTAAACGGACGTCTGTTCGACTGGGGAGACGGTACTCACTCCTCTTAATGACCTTTGTCGTCTCAGGGTTAATTCATGCGTGTGGAACCTACCAAGTGACACGAGCGCTTGGCCTGCCCTTGTCGGACGGCGGGGAGATGAAGTATTTTGTGTTGCAGGGGATGGCAATCATAGCCGAGGATTTTGGTTGTTGGGTGCTGGGTATTGATGATCGGGGAACAAAGCCCGGGGTAATGCGACGATGGATGGGATATGCGATAACGTTATCATGGTATGTCTGGAGTCGCGTACACCTGAAAGGTGTACCGGTAGCTTTAGCGATGGGGAATGAGGATGAGAGGGGGAACTTGTTTGCTGCGTTGGAGCTGGTTCGACAGTCTGCTGTGGCGGTGCCGGGCAATTTCGTAGCGAGCGCCTGGGAGCTGGTTTGGTGAGGTTTAGCGAGTATGAAGCTGCTACAAAGCGTGGAAGACAGTAGATGAGATATCTCATTTATATATAACTTTGGAATAGTTGGGATTTATAGGTGCTAGCTTACGGAAGCCTTGACGGCTTCCCGAGGCTTGGATGAGGTACACATTGACAACAATTTGGAAAAACGCAGAACACTCTCTGAATGCTCTATTTGAATTCGGCAGGAAGGGGCGTCACTGTGCCGATTTCGGCGATTGTCTCCTCCCACAGTTTCTTCTGAATCTCCTGGCCCGCCGGTGATTTGATGAACACCGATTGACTATAGGGGAAGACCTGTTAGCTGTTTGTAATGACCACTTTCTAGGGGGAAAGCTGTATCACTTACTCGGAGATGGTCTTGTCATTCAAGAACTTGCCATGAGACTCGGGGCCTACCACCAGCGCACTGTTGAGGATGATCCAGCCGCCCACCTCGACAGGCCTAGCGCGGAATGACTTGACAACGTTCACAATCAAGCGCAGATGCACGGGGAGGACATCGCTCATTTTGGTATTCACCATTCCCGGACACATCATGTTGATGATGACTTTCTTAGGATCCAGTCGCGGCGCCAGACTGTACATGAACATCGCGCAAAGTAGCTTCGAGTCCCCATAGCGCTGGAACGGGACAAAGGCTTCTTCTTTGTCCATATGCGCAAGAACGCCTTCACCGGGCTTGATAGGAACTTTCTTCTCCAAACTGGTGGCCTCGTGTGCGCGACTTCCAACCCAGCTAATGCGTGCTGGAGAGCCAGTCTTCTCCGCGCCTGCTTGGAGATATGGCAGGAGCTCGGCGATCAACAAAACATTGGAGTAGTAATTGACTTGAGTGGTTCGGTCATGGCCGCTTGCGCTGCGTTCCAGCTTGAGCAGACCGATACCCGCATTGAGAATGAGGATATGGACCACCGGAATCTCTTCGCGGAGCTGTTTCGTGAACTGTTGTACACTATAATAGTCGTCCACATCAAGTGCCATGACCTTGATGGTTGGCTTGGGGTTGTGGGTTTGAATACGACGGTCTTGGCGGAGGGAAGTTGCGCAGGCCTCGCCCTTGGCGACATTGCGCACGGCGAGAATCACGGTCGAGGCGCGCAGTCGCAAGAGCTGTTTGGTGGTTTCCAGACCCATTCCGGCGCTGGCACCGGTAATAACGATAGTTTTACCCGTCAGATCAATGCCTGTAGGCAGGGGATCGACTTTCGGCTGGATGATGTTGACCATAATGGGAGTTGAATGAGGAGTTGAGATGCGAGAATTGGGGTCACCAGTGTGAAGAGCACGATTAATGGTAGAAGAGAAGGAGAGATATCGAAGCAGTCATACTCGTGTTTCCTTTTGCTATCACAACCCTGCTATCGGCCATGGAGGCCCTTTGTTGGATTGTTCAGCGGAGCTGACAAACGGCGGTTTCGTCGATGGGGTGACTCAGCATTCGGCCGACGCCAGCCCTAAAAGGGAAGTTCAAAGGGACGAAGACCGAGACAACCTCGCCCGAATGAACACGGCCAAATGTCTTTCTCGTGTAACGTCAAGACGAGATGGAATTCTCCGGTATGCTATCCTAGGAGATAACTGGGAGATGAGAAGGAACAGCGAGTATGTAAAGTAAGCAGTTTATCCATTTCGTTCCCTCCTCCCCTCACGTCTACTTCCATTTCTAACTAGAAATGGCTCCTTGCAAACCTCATACCTTTACAGCCGGTCAAGATCCGCTGACAAAGTTTGACGGAGCCATTTCCGTCCGTAATCTGCCCCGGCCCCCGGACCGTTTGTTCCTGTTTCACGGTATCATGAGGCCAAGTCGCGGCATCTATGCCAAGCTGATCGCCACCGGCCAAAAGCCCCCCACACATTTCCACCCGTCCCAGTGGGAATTCTTCCGCGTTCTTCGCGGGAACCTTACTATCGATTTCAATGGGCGTGCCTTTCACCGGACCGCCAGTGATGGCGAACTGGCAGTGCCTCCCTACACCCATCATGTCATTTATGGAACACCCGGGACGGAGATGAATGAGGTCGAATTTGTCGTGAGTGCCAGTGATCCTGCTGCGGAGGAGCAGGGTGCCACGGTTATGGACCAACCGTTCTTTGAGAATTGGTATGGGTATCAGGAGGACATTTTTCAACGGGGGGAAAAATTGGACTTCATACAGGTGCTTTCGGTAGGCAACGAAGGTTCCCCTTAAAAATTATACCAAGACTAACCAGGTATAGATGTTTGATGCCGGAGGCACGTATCTGTCCCCGCCCTGGTGGGTCCCCTTCCGCTCGTGGGTCGGACTGTTTCTCGGGATCGTGATTGGCCGGTGGATAGGCGGGCTGCTGGGCTATGCGCCTTTTTATCCCGAGTGGACAACCGACTGGGAGGGAGCCTGCGAGACAATGAAGCAGAGCTGGTTCCAACGTAGATTTGCGGATCCAGAGGCACAGGAACGAGCACGGGAGAGGTTTCGTGATCAGTTGGAGCAGGAGGCATCGGCCAAAGCGGGGAAGTCAGAGTAGATAAATATTTTTGGAGCAGGCAACTGTATATATTCACATATCTAGATAGACAGACACTCCTCCACAGATTGACTGGAATCTATACACAGGAATACTTGGCTATTCCGACAGATTGACATCTCCATACTTGTACTTCACCTCAATTTCCGGGCATAGATGATGTTTTCACCATCACCATCTTATGCAAGTGATACTGTACACCATTATCAGCGAGCCTTCTGCGCCTTGGTGCTAACCAGGGAGTCCAGCTGCTTCTCGAGTCTCTGAACATAGACGTAGACCACAGCATACACCATGTCAGACCCGATACTACCCAGCAGCAAAAACTGCCCGTAAGGAGTCCACGCATATCCGAATCTCTCTGGCCAATAGTGTATGCGCCAGAGGAAGCAACATGCAGCGGCGATAGTACCCAACATCCTTGTCCACCTTCTCATAATGTCAGCGCCAGATTAAGATGACTCTACCGAATATTTATCCACTCACCAAATTCCCCAAGAGTGGCCAAGGGTATTTCCGCGCGAGAGTAGCTGCGCAATCGAGCTGAAATTGATAAGGACCTGCATAGGCCATGCAGTCATGAACACGACCTGTCGCCCAATGCTCGGGATAAATGTGGCCGCGATCGCCAAGTGCAGCCACAGACAGATCACACATCCGACCACGATTATACCCGCGAGATGCTGAGCCACTAATGGTGACTGCTTCCAGGCGTAGGGAGCCGATCGAATAATTGCGTAGAAGAGGACCACATCGACAATCATCCATTGCGCGAACACGACCTGGTTTAGCAGCCCTGGGCCGTAGACAAACCCGTAGACTGCTTCCCAGGTGATGTTCAAGCAGAGACAATGGAGAGGCATTGCGTAGGAACGATCCCTGAATGCCTTTTTGGCCATCAAGATGTACGAGATAGACCAGAGGATTCCTGAGATGGCAGTGAAGCCATCGGGTACAGACTTCGCATGCCAGTAGGGCGGCGGGGTATTCTTGTAGTCGCGATTGGCGGCTGCCCACTCCTCGAGTGCGAAGAAGCCCATTTTGTTCATTTTTCTGAATGGGAAAGTGTGAAAGAGATAATTTGCTGCTGTGTGTAGCTGGTTCTCCATATGTCATTGGTCTCATATAAAGCGTGAGGCATCCCGGTCGGTCGGCCGAGCCAGATCGGTAGTCCGAGACCTGCATCGCTAGTCAGGCACGACAATATCGATCGTTCCAACTTTCAATCGGCGTGAGAAAAAAAAAGGAAGGGGAAATGGACCTGTCTGCCATGCCATCAGCTCGAAATCATACGATTCATGCGATGTCCCGCCCGAGATGGCAGGTCGTAGATCCATAAAGGGCTGGCAACGCGCACAAACTACAACCAACTCACATCACTCAACATGGCCGTAATTACCTCGATAATAGGGATCCTTATGGGTGTGCTGACCACAGCCACCGCGGCCTCCATTCCAACAGGATCTTCAACTGCTGCTGCTGCTCTCACCTCACTGAGTGTCTCTCTCCCATCTGGCAACGTTCTCATCGGAAATGCCGGCTACACCTGTAGTCTCTTGAATCGAGTCTTCTCCAATAACGAGACATTCACACCGACGTCGCCCTATTACGATGTGTTGATCGACGAAGCCTGGTCTGAGAATTGCCGATTGAATGCGTCTTGCATCGTGACACCTGAATCCGCCCAAGAGGTCTCACGTCTGTTGCAGATCCTCAGTATTCTTGAGACGAAATTTGCCATTCGCTCCGGTGGACACAATACCAACCCGGGATTCAGTTCAATCGGTAGTGACGGGGTGTTGATCGCTCTGGAGAAGTTGGACACCATTTCCTTAAGTGCTGATCGCGGAACCGTCACTGTCGGGCCTGGTAATAAATGGGAGTCTGTGTACAAGTACCTCCAGCCGTATAATCTTACGGCCTTAGGTGGCCGTGAAGTAGTCGTGGGCGTTGGTGGATACATTCTTGGTGGTGAGTGGATGATTCATCGTGGGAATCCCAGATGAACCAAGACATTGACAGAATCAGGCGGTCTCAGCACCTTCTACAACACCCACGGCTTGGCCATTGACAGTGTCACCCGATTCCAGGTGGTCCTACCCAATGGAACTATTGTTGATGCCACCCAAACTGAGCATGCCGATCTATACAAAGGCCTCAAGGGAGGTCTGAACAACTTCGGTGAGACTACTATTGTCTATCAGATCACCGCTCAACCACCTAACTGGACCAGGCATCGTGACTGAATATGATCTCACCACCAATAGCGGCATTGATATTTACTATGAGATAAAAATGTACACCGCTGCCAACACACCTGCCGTGCTTGCGGCCTATGGGACGTATCTCTTGAATGCCGACATCAACAGCAATGTGGAGATCCAGATCAACCCCAGCTACACTTTGGTCTTCTACGGGTATCTCGGCCATGTATCTGCACCTACAGACTTTGATCCATTCTCTGACATACCCG